CTTACCAAATTTGTTGCATTAATATGAAAATGCTCATGGCTACTTGTTGGCCTTGGCCACATTAATTGTTGCCTAAGATTATCCCGCTTTTTTAGCTCTTGAGCTGAAGCACTACGAAGTAGTTCAAATGAGAAATCATCACCATTACGATTCAATCGATTTGGCAAGAATCGGCGCAAAAATCCATGAATTGAATTCATGGAGCATTGCAGATTTTCGAAAAAAAAATAAAAAATGAAAAAATTCAATGAAGTTTAAATTTTTTGCGAAACGTTTGCATCGTCTTCTTTTCTTTCTCGTTCCGGTTTCTTTCTTTCTTTTTTCCCTTTTCTTTTCGTTTTGTTTTGTTTTGTTTTTTTTTTTTTTTCTTGAAGAATATATCCAATAACTGAAAATAAACAAGAAAAAAAAACCAATGAAAGCTAAATTTAAATTTTTATAAAGTCATTTGTGAACAAAATTTGCATATCATAAATGAATCGACTAATGAATTAATTGCTAATATAAATAAACTTTTTGTTTTTCTACTAAAGCAACATGAAATTTGGATGAGAGTAAATTGAATTAACTTTTGCCTTTAATTTAATTTAATGCTAATTTTTCGATTTGCAGAAAGAATGAAATTTGTTGTTGATGACTTTTTTTTCAACTAATAAAACTATCGGTATTATGTTTTGTTGAAAAAGTGTGTGGAAAAAAGGAGAAAAAATTGGATGGAAATAATTTTTAAAAAAGTTATTTCAACTTTTTCAATTATTTTAAAACTTTTTAATCAATTTTAATCAATAATTCGAAAAAAAAATTAGCAAATATTAATCAAAAAATGTAAGGAATAAAGAATATTTAAATTATATAAGTAACATTGGTCGAAAAAACTTTTTAAAAAAGACGAAAATTTTGAAAAAAATAAATGATAGTTAAATACTTATTCACTTATATACTTAAGTAATTACTTCAAAAAATAAAGAAGGACAAAAATGCGGAGGAGAGCAATTTTCTTTCCATCAAAAAAAAAAACTATTTGAAATTTCATTAACAGCAAAACTTAGTCCCATTTATCTCTTACTCATCCTTTACTCTTATTTGTTTCAAAATATTCGTCTTATTTTTTCTCCTTCTCCTCCTCCTCCTCTCCCCTTTCCTTCTCTCTCTCCTCCTCCTCCTCTTCCTTCTCCTTCTCCTCCTCCTCCTCCTTCCTCCAGTGTTTATATTACTTATTTTCAGTTATTATCGTATTTCAAATATTTATGTGTTATAAAGATGTTAGAAAAGTTAAACGTAAATGTTTTTACTCTTATTATGAATTAAAAAAAAAAAAAAAAATTTTACCATTTATATTTAAAAATATTTGCTAAAATTCGAGGTAATCAAATTTCATTTAATTTCTGCACAATTTATCAAATAATATTATTATTATTATATTCAGTTTGTGGAATTAATATTGAATTAATGATATTTTAAAAAATTCAGCAAATAATTGCAATAAATGAGTAATAATTAGTGTAAAAATTTTTCATATCATAATCAATTATAGCTTGTGGATGCTTTTTATTTTTTTTAATTATATTATTTGATTAATAATTAATGATTAACAAATTTTTACAATCCTATAAAAATTAACAATTTATTTCAAATTTTTGGAAAGAATTTTTTTTTTTGTTGTATCTTTGTTTTTTCCTTTTTCATCCTATTTAAAACCGAATTTAAATTTTCAATTTGAAAAATATTAAAATCAATATTCTAACATTTAGCAATGACAACTAAGCTTTCATAGTCTTCTCTTAACAAAAACGAAAAATTCTCTCCTAGCAACGATAATATAAAAATAACTAAAAAAAAAAGAAAAAAAAGGAAAAAAAAGAAGGCAAAATGCTTTTACGCATGAATGATTACTTTTTTTGGTTTTCAATTATTTTAGCCTTTAATATTTTTTCCCATCTCACTTTATCAATCCATCCTTTAAATTTCTGCAAAAAATTTTTTAAAATCGAAATTCGAAATTAAAAGCAAATTTTGTAGATTTCCATTTTTTTTTCCTTCCTCCCCCTTTATTTAATAATTTTTTGCATTGCATAATGCAAATTTATTTTGATTGCTTTCGCAAAATATATTATACTTAAAAACAGAAATATATGATTTTCGATCAGCTTCGTTTTTTTTTTTTTTCATTTCTTTGTATTTATATTCATTCTAACAAATGTATTGAACAGTTGTTTAATAAACAAAATACGAGAAATATTTTTTGGGGAAAAAAAAAAATTCAAATCTTTCAACAATTTTATTACTGATTTGATGATTTGAAAATTTTACATTTTAAAATGCAAATTAGACAAATAAAGTTTTTGCAACTTTAAATAGCAATTAATCAAGGAAAAATTGCATTAATTAAATAGTAAAAATAGCCAAACAATGTTTCAATTAAAGGAAAAATAAATTAATTAAAATCAGCTATTTAAAATTTTGATCAAATAATTACTACAAATAAACTTATTAATAATACATTAATCTATTGCTAACAGTTATAAGTGTACATTACAGTATTCATTTTGTAAAAATGGATGAATGATTTTTGAAATTTTTAAATTCATCCAGCAGATCATAAAAAGAATAGGAATGGACATTCATTTATGTATATGCTGGATAAATTAGAAAAGAGAAAAAAAAAAAAAATGAAAATAAATTGAAGAATGATGATGATGATAGAAAAAAAGAGAGAGGATTGTGTGTAATCATTTAAATCGGAATAAAATGAAGATAAATGATGAATAATACCAATTCCTTATTTATTTTTTTAAATTCTTTATCCAATAAATGTATGATTTGTTGTTTTAAAAATGAATAGTAAATGTAATGGAAATAATAAATTGTTGTAAATTTATTGATCGATAACCAATATTGATATACTTGAATAAATTAATGAAATTTGAAATTAAAATAGAAATTGAATAGGAGAGAAATTGCACTAGCATTTTTCAATTTCCATCAATAAAACTATCATTGGTGTAATGAATTTTGGTTATTCTTTTCGAATGAATATTTGCATATTTTGATATTATCATGATTCTAAATATATCCCAAGTACAATCATGGTTATAAGAACATTTTGGCATAATCAAGATTGCAAATGTTTAATCAAACAATCATGATTACAAGCAATGTTGATATAATTATAATTACAATCATGGCATGATATAATCATGATTACATGCACATCATGGTATGTTCAAGATTACAAGCGCATTTTGCTATAATTATGATTATAGGCATATCTTGATATAATTATGATTTCAAGCTTGTCTTAGTATAATCATACTTACGAGCATATCTTAGTAAAATCAAAATTATATGTATATTATATAAAAGAATGCAAGCATATCTTATCATAATGATGATTACAAGCAAGATATCCTGATATAATCATGATTACAAGTAAGATATCCTGATATAATCATGATTATAAGCAAGATATCCTGATATAATTATGATTCAAGCATGTCATCGAATTAAAATGAAAGGAAGAAAGAATTGGATGCAATAATACCTTTAAAAGTTCAAAATATTCACTAACAAAAAATATAACAAAAGAATCAAAACTGAGAATGTATCGTTAACTATTAATCTTTCAATTTATTTGATCAAAAATTAAAAAAAAAAAAAAAAAACGAAAATATTTATCTAAAATTGCAAAACATTTGTTGAAGATATTGTGAAAGTAGAAAATTTCAAAACTTCTAAGCCTAAGCATAAATTCCTGTCGGGAAAAAATATATACATACATACATGCATACATACACACACACATACACATACAAATGCACATACACGCACACATACATACACCGACACACATACACATATCCACATATATAAATAAATTTTGATATAATTCGCGACATCACTGACGGTGAAGTTATCGAATAAATACGTAAACAACTAACAGGGATTTATTTCTACCAATGCATGCTTCCGTTGGGAATATAGAGAGAACCGGAAAAATGAATAAAAAAAAAAGCTAAAAATAGGCTAATTTATTTCTTCAATCATTTATTGTTTTGATGTTTCATTCATATTTTATCATGCATTGAATGCATGTAATGCATGCAACGTAAAAAGTACGTTTTTTTTTTTTTTCTTTCTTTCATTGCATTGCATAATATTAAATTAGATTTATTTCTTACTACATACTAAATGCATGTAATGCATGCAGCGTAAAAGATGTTTGATGTTTTTTTTTTCTTTTCTTTCTTTCATAGCATTGTATAATATTAAATTAGATTTATTCCTTACTATATAATGCATGCGAATGCATGTAATGCATGCAGCGTAAAATTGTGTTACTATTAAAATTATTACAGATGAAAATTTTGTCTAATATTTCTAGCAATTTTTTTTTTTTTTTTTTAATAGCTCTACAATAGTTTAAACAACCAAAATTAAACTGTTACAAATTTCCCCGTTGTTTGCAGGATTTGATATTTTACTCTTTTAATTTAAAATCCGTAGCAAATATTTTCGAATTCTGTTATAAGCAAATTGAAGGTAAACGAAATTTGAATTTTAAAGCGAAAATTCAATTTGAAAATGGATGAATGGAATGGATGTGAAAGACGAAAATAATATACATATGAAATAATATATGTTTAAAAGAATAAAAATGAAAAAATATATTTTTTTTATCCATTTAAATAAAGAAAATATCATCATATTTGTTTTTTATTTTTTTTTTTTGGAAAAAGAAAATTAAAATCTTTAAAAATCAAATTAAATCTTTTTTTTTTCAAATTTCAATCCATTTCTTTTTTTTTCTTCGACGATATTCTTCCGTTACATTTTATGTTTGAAAATGCATAAGCTAATATAGCACTAAATTCTCATCTTCTTGTTATTCGTCCTTTTTTAACTAAAATAAATCTCATTTGATAATTTAATAATTCAAAATTTATTCTTTCATCTAAAATAATGGAAATAATAAAGAATTTTTCGGATAGGAAATTTTATTTTCTTCCTGAAAATAGAAAGATGCTATTATTAAGACACGTTAACTTTATTCGATCTAAAATTTAGCTTTTTTTTTTTTTTTTTTTTAATTGTTT